TGTAATCTAATACGATTTTACTGGAACTTCAATAAAATCTGATAAGATTGCGAAATAGAGCTTTTTATTATTAGATTGCAAACTCTTCTAATTAGATTGCAATCGAGTTTCCGGAGATGGGACAGAAAAGTGGTTATAGAACTCAACTTGAGTGTCAAAGTAAAAAAGTTTCAAATTTCAACCTTCTTACATTAACTTTGATAGCCATGTATAATTGAGCAATTGCAACAGACAAAAAGACAAACAGAAGAACCTGTGAAGACTTTTATTAATAAGAAGCTTTTGGAACCCGCCGAACTAAGAGTATTTATTAGTGTATTTATTCAAGTTCCCACCAAAACAAAACAAAACAGACAGTGTATTCTCGCGAAATGATCCACGATTAGTCGCCATCGGACAATTCTGATGCGTTGCTCGTATCGCTCTCATACTCATCACTAAATTGTAGAACTATTGCGCGAATAGATTTTGACCAACAAACTTATCGACGAGAAGTGGCCACATGTCTCTTGCTCCATGTAGCCTCTGTTCATCGCGGTTACGTATTTCTCTGTCCATTCGGAATCCAAACAAATCATCCCAATCGAGCACGTCATCGTTTGTTCTTCGTCTTCTGTTATTGATGTCACTCTCCGATACCTGAAAAGTTTTTTCTTGGCATTCCAAAACCCTCTGGCATTTCGTTATTAATCTAATCGTAGTCTACTCGAGTTATACGGCGGCCTAATAAGATTGATATGACACCTAATTAGATTAATGCATTGTCTAGCTAGATTAATAAATCTTCTAACTAGATTAATAAGTGCTCAAATCAAGTTTCACGCCAACCGTCTGCTGGCTCAAATCTCGATTGCGCCAAGAAAAAACAGTCGAATCTAATTAGGTCGCGTTTAGATCAGTAACTTTCTAATTAGATTAATATCGAATTGCCAGAGCCATGGGCCATTTGCAAATTTGCGTTTTCGTAGCCCTACAGGTAAATTATATGAGGAAATGTTTTGGAAAAGGTAATTTTAAAAAATTGGGGGCAATACTGATTGGATAGACTCATGATCAGGAAGACCGTGATCACGGCCGTGACGCGGTTCGCGCGGTGCAAAAGTTTGAAACTCAACTGAGAAAAAGGCACAATAAAAAACAGGTACCGTCGTTAAAAGCATTTCTCACTTAAAATTACCCACCGGGCGTTGATTTGATACATTTTCTCTGGAATTCATAGATTCTGTATTGTGAAGAGTCGTTTCATTTATTATGGGTACAGCCGGAATCTTCCACATGACGTCTTCTCTCATTTCAGAATAGCACAGCGGGCAAACCATTTTCACAGCTAGCCATTTCCGGAGACATGGGCCATGAAAGTAATGTTTACAGGGTGTAATTCGTGCTTCTTCTCTCATTTCAATAAAACAAATTGCACATAAGTCTTCACGTTCTGAAAAATAATTTGAGACTGCACCTGGAGACCAAAGATAAAAGCGACGGAAAAATGAAGAAATAAAAACGTGAACTTTCATACTGTTTTCATAATGGTAGATATTCCGAGAGAAAAAACAAACCCTTAAGTTGGGTCGTATCTGCTTTTTTTAATTGATTTATATTGTTAACTGCCGCATTTCTGCTTCTCACATAATTGAAAAAATTTTCCAATCTGTCAAAAAAATGTATTTTAATTGATTGCCGTATTCGTACCTTTTGTAGATGTTCACTACAACATGAAAGAGTAGAATGGCCAGAGTGGCACAGCTAAATCCTTTTTTCACTACCTGCATGCATCCAAAAAGCATGACACATATTGCAGACAGTATTTCGATCCCTTT